CACAAATTTATAAGAGAGCATTAGACGTGTCCAAAGATTTCAAACTGCGGCGATAGACATTGTTAAATGCAATACTAATTTATATTTTACAGATATTCTAGAAGTGATTTTTACCACTGAAGCACAGTGAAGTACAGTCTTGATCTTTCTTCAGAAACAAAAACAAGACTGAAATCTTGTCGGCTGCGAGACCTTCGACAGTGATCTTAGAATAGCTTCAACCAATTGAGTTCTTATATGAGCCGGTTTGGAGCCTCAAAATTAGATTCAAGAGCAAATCAACAGAAGCACACGTCACGTGAAAACTATGAATATGTTCAAATTAGTGCTGTCAAGTCGATTAATCACGATTAATCACATCTAACATAAAAGTTTGTTAATGTGTGTGTGTGTGTGTGTTTTATATTTACAAACTTGTATGTTAGATGCAATTAATCGATTTGACAGCACTAGTTAAAATGTGACAATGAATCAGTAGCAGAGGTTTAGATCAGCTCAGGTTTGCTCAGTGTGGATGTATTGTTCTGTTTCAGTGGTGTTGTCTGACTCAACCTTAAAGGGAAAGGTCAAGGATATCCTTTATGTTTTGTCTAAGAATTGTTTAACAGCCACCAGATGAGAAGTGCCCTCGCTGGATTTATGACTCACTTATGATTGTTGCTTATGAATGAGAAAAGATATTGTCTTGAAATAACCACTTTTGCGTAAAAAAACAAACACCATTGTTTTTTCTGTGTCCTAATTTAGTTCGAGGCTCTTAATCATTTTCTAAAGCCTTTGGAACTCTTGTCTTAAATAATAAATGAACTTCAAATTTGACCCGTGGTCTTCACTGAAGATATTAGTCTCTCCGTGTTGTGTTGTTGTTTTTAGCTCTAAGTGTATTTGTTCATTCCTGAAACAGTAGAGCATGGCGCCAAGGTCATGGTTTTGACTCCCAGAGAATGCATGAACTGACAAAATGTACACCTTGAGTGCAATGTAAGTCACTTTAAATAAAAGTGCATAAAATGTGAAATGTGTTCAAAGCCAAAGCTCATGCAACCTACAGCTCTACGCCACACACACTAGATGGCAGTCACACATAAAGCTCCTGAATATGGTCATCAGCGTTCTCTGTGCGAGTGTTAAAGACAACAATGTTGAGCTTTGATAACACAGCCAACTCTTGTTGACTCATGCTGGACGGATGCCATGAAGAGACAAAGAGATACACACACATTCACACACACCAGATCAACCTCAGCCTTCTTATGTAAGCACTGAAATACACTGTGATGAGGCTGACCATGCATTTACATCATTGATATACTGTAACTCTTTTAAGCACATTGTGCATTGAAGGAGATACATATATTAATGAGTCTTTTCATTTGGATAAGCGACCTCTCAGAACACCTTAGCAACTGCATAGCAACGCACTATTAACCACTCAGAACCCACATGCAACTGCATAGCAATGCCCTGGCAACCATTCACAAGACCCTGTCAACTGCATGGCAACACACTATTAGGTCAAGTCAAGTCAACCTTTATTTATATAGCGATTTTTACAATGAATACAGATTGTTTTCAAAGCATCTTTACAGTGACAACAGGAAAATTATGTTCAGCTGAAGTCAGTTCATTGTTGATTCAGTTCCGTTGTAAAGATCACTGCAGAACACACATGCAGCTGCATAGCAACACCCTGGCAACAATCCACAACACCCTAGCAACTGAATGGCAACACACTATTAGCCCAAGTCAAGTCAACCTTTATTTATATAGCAATTTATACAATAAATACAGATTGTTTTCGTAGCATCTTTACAGTGACAACAGGAAAATTATGCCTTTCGGTTGTTGTTCAGCTGAAGACCCTGGCAACAATCCACCACACCCTAGCAACTGAATGGCAACACACTACTGACCTGCAGAACACACATGCAGCTGCATAGCAACGCACTGGCAACAATCCGCAACACCCAAAGAACTGCATGGCAATACACTATTAACCCACAAAATACATTTGCAACTGCATAGCAACGCCCTGGCAACCATCCACAACACCCTAGAAACTGAATGTCAACACACTACTAACCTGCAGAACACATACAGCTGCATAGCAATGCGCTGGCAACACCCAAAAAACTGCATGGCAATACACTATTAACCCACAAAATATATATGCAACTGCATAGCAACACCCTGGCAACAATCCACAACACCCTAGAAACTAAAATCGCAACACACAATTGATCTTCAGAACACACATGCAACTGCATAGCAACGCCCTGGCAACCATCCACAACACCCTAATAACTGAATGACAACACACTATTAAACCACAATATACATATGCAACTGCATAGTAGCACCCTGGCAACAATCCAAAACACCCCGGCAACTGAATGACAACACACTATGTAACCCGCAAAATACATATGCAACTGCATAGCAACACCCTGGCAACAATCCAAAACACCCCAGCAACTGATTGACAACACTATTAAACCACAAAATGCAACTGCATAGCAACACCCTGGCAACCATCCAAAACACCCTAGCAACTGAATGACAACACACTATTAAACCACAATATACATATGCAACTGCATAGCAATGCCCTGGCAACCACCCAAAACACTGAGCATGGACAAGCACTCCATCTTCAGAAAATGTATTTCCTATTTTTTCTTCTTCTTGATGAAAGCAGAGTGTTTTAGGGAATGTGCGCCCTGTTTGGCCCTATTTTTGAGTCTTGGCTTGGATGAATGAATTTGTTGGCTGTGAAAGATGAGCTGCCGTGTTGCTCAATAATTCAGAGTTTGTAACAGACGGCACATCGTCAGGAGAAGCAGCGAAGCTGCACTTGATTGATATGCCATGACAAAACAAAAGGGAAAAGAGGCAGTCATTGTTTTTATCGAAATCGGATCTTTGGAATAGCTGAAGCTCGCCTATTGTCCGGCCCGGTGTACACTTTGACATGGGAATACACCCCAGAAGTCTGTTTGGACAGCTTGAAGCAATGTACGATGCGCTGCGGGAATCATAAATGTGATTCTCGCATATCAAGTTTTGCTCTGTCCAAACCACTACAGACTGTTGCATTGCTGTGTCTCCTCATTCATCATTCATCAAGGTGCGGCCATTTAGTTTCAGGCCTTATCAGTCACACGCCTGATAATGGCAACTATAAAAGACATGGTTGATTTCAAATGCATGTTTGAGGCTTTCTGACAGGGGAACATATAGATAATCTGCGCTGGTGGACACAAGTGACTGCGCAGTGTAACCGAGGCCAGCTAGTAAGAGCTGTGTGGGTAAACATCACTCCCGGCAAGTTAAAATAAGTTAAACTTTTAAAAACTGTGTCTCTAGGCCGTCTCACATTTTTAACAGCAAAAACGTGTTCTGTGTGAACCGGCCCTGGATCCATCAGGGGTTCTCCCAAAGAAAAACAAACACAGAGACCGTTATCTACACAATTTCTGACATCTGCAGCTCCACAGTTATCTCTTGATATGAGATTAATCGTTTTATAATTGTAATATCCTGGAAATACTGTATGCAACCTGCCTGCACTTCAATTCATAACAAGTGTTTCATCAGCCTTACGGGAAAATTATCTCAGTAGTGGTAAATGGAAACTTTATGATCTGGCAAACGTGACAACTGACATATCAGCTGGTAAGAGAGGATAATTTTAAAATATATGGCTCTTTGCTGATCCCCATTTAATCAAAATGGGACAAAGTCACATCCATTACCCTCCATTTCCTTCTGGCACAGGATATCACAGTATAAGCTCCATTACCTCTGATAATGGAGCAAAGTGCCTGAGCAAAAGAAGTGTGCTCCAATAGTATATATACATATACACAAACAAATTCCCCAGAAATATCCCAGAACACCCATGGAATCGCATAGCAACACCCTGCCAAACACTCAGAACACCTTGGCGACAGCTTAGCAACCCCCTAGCAACCACCAAAACAGCTTAGCAACCCCCTAGCGGTCACCCAGAACGCCCTAGAAATCACACAGCAACACAATAACAGCCATTTAGAATATCATAGCAAAGTTTCTAACAATGCCCTAACAACCACAGAAAACACCCTAGCAACCACATAGCAACGCCCTGACAACCATTCAGAACACCGTAGCAACAGAACAGCTTGGCAACCTCAAGCAACCACCCAGAACTCTCCAGAAACCACATAGCAAAACACTAACAGCCACTCAGAAAACCTTAACAACCTTATACCAATGTCCGAATCAACCGCAAAGAAACACCCTGGCAACCATTCACAATTGAGTTTTGCACTGATAAACACATCTCGTGTATTCTTTAAAAAGTAGTTAAGTGATTGTTTTTATTTATTTGAAAATGTATTTATTTATTTTAAATGTAATTATTTATTTTCTAAAATCTATTTTTTTTACAGCATAGCAACCCCCTAGCAACCACTCAGAACAACCAAGCAACAGCTTAGCAACCCGGAACTCCCTAGAAACCACTAGCAACACACTTACATCCGCTCAGAACATCTTAGAAACTTCATATCAATAACAACCACCCAGTGTTTTGAACTGGCAAACAGAACTCATATTTATCTATTACGTAAAAGCATACAGTTAGTAAAATAAAGTGTGCAACCTATTTATTTATATAGTTTAAAATGTTTTTTTGGAAAATGCATCTGCTAAATGAATAAAAATTTTTTTTTTAATTACGTAATCTATTGCATATGAATTACAATAATAGCAACAAGTGCTTTAAAACAAGTGTTTTGACCTCTGACACTGATCTTGCATGTTATCAGTCCTGAGTTGAACTATGTTCCTCCTTAACACACACATGAACACACAACGACAACACGTCTTCATTTCAAGCCTATAAAAGCAGCAGACAGTGAGTGCAGGAGGGGTGGAGCGAGAGAGAGAGAAAGAGAGAGAAAGAGAGAGGGGGAGGTAAGAGGTAAGGAGAGAGAGAGAGAGAGGGAGAGAGAGAGGGAGGGAGAGAGAGCGAGAGAGGTAGGGGAGAGAGTGAGAGAGAGAGAGAGAGAGAGAGAGAGAGAGAGAGAGAGAGAGAGAGAGAGAGAGAGAGAGAGAGAGAGAGAGAGAGAGCGAGAGAGAGAGAGCGAGAGAGAGGTAGGCGAGGGAGTGAGAGAGAGAGCGAGAGAGGTAGGGGAGGGAGTGAGAGAAAGAGATAGGGAGAGAGAGAGAGAGAGAGAGAGAGGTAGGGGAGGGAGTGAGAGAGAGATAGGGAGAGAGAGAGAGGCAGTGTTAGTAGAGCTCAGACAGAAGACAGGAGCTGAAGGAGGCTGTTGGACAGAAACACGATCATGAGTCAGAAACACACTGCAGTATAGAGAGTCAGAGGAGCAAACGAAAGCAGGACTGTGACTGAAGGACCCTGTGTTTGAGTCTGTGAGACAGAGAGAGAGAGAGAGAGAGAGAGAGAGAGAGAGAGACAGACAGAGACAGACAGAGAGAGAGAGAGAGACAGTCGCCTCTTGGACTTCTCCCCGTCCTCGTGAGGTTGTGGCAGGCATGGCGTCGGAGCCGGGCACCCAGTCCAGAGTGATGTTTCAGACCAAAGAGGAGGAGCCTGCCCAACGCAAACTTGGCAAACTAACGGTCAAATACAACCGCAAAGACCTCCAGAGGCGACTGGACATCGAGGAGTGGATCGATGGGCAACTGCACCTGCTGTACGACTGCGAGGTAAGACAGATCCAGAGAGACAGCATTACAGCACGTTCCCTGTGATCAGACTCAAGTTAATAATGCACCAAAACATACAGCAAGACGGTGATGATTCTGAGCAGATGATTCTTCTTAAACAGATTTAAATGAGTCAATAGTTGTCATCCTCTTTAGGAGGAACAACTGAGAGAAGTTTTCCTAGAAGGAAATACACCATAGTATGTTTTATCTGTTCGATTTCTGAGAGAAATGTACTATTATTTGTCATCAGTAGGAACATTGTTATCATTTATATATCCAAGCGGGATTTGAACAGGTGTCTGTAGTGTCAACCGCCAGCGTACCTCTTAGGACAAGAGAGTGAGGTTTACACTCTCCCCCCTAGACCTAGACTCACTCCCACCCGGGTCACGGCACCAAATATAACCTCTCCGTTCCTAATCGCCTCTCTCCGTGTGTGATTTGAACTAGCATAGGAGAAGTGAGGTTTCAAGAGATCAGGGGAGTGAGGTTTTAAAAGATCAGGCGAGTGAGGTTTACACTCTCCCCCCTAAACCTCACTCCCATCCGGGTCACGACACCAAATATAACCTCTCCGTTCCTAAATGCCTCTCTCTGTGTGTGATTTAAACCAGCATAGGAGAAGTGAGGTTTCAAAAGATCAGGGGAGTGAGGTTTACACTCTCCCCCCCTAAACCTCACTCCCATCCGGGTCACGGCACCAAATATAACCTCTCCGTTCCTAATCGCCTCTCTCTGTGTGTGATTTGAACCAGCATAGGAGAAGTGAGGTTTCAAGAGATCAGGGGAGTGAGGTTTACACTCTACCCCCTAAACCTCACTCCCATCCAGGTCACGGCACCAAATATAACCTCTCCTTTCCTAATCATCTCTCTCCGTGTGTGATTTGAACTAGGGGAGTAAGGTTTACACTCTACCCCCTAAACCTCACTCCCATCCAGGTCACGGCACCAAATATAACCTCTCCGTTCCTAATCATCTCTCTCCGTGTGTGATTTGAACTAGCATAGGTGAAGTGAGCTTTCAAGAGATCAGAGGGAGTGAGGCTTACACTCTCCCCCCTAAACCTCACTCCCATCGGGGTCACGGCACCAAATATAACCTCTCCGTTCCTAATCGCCTCTCTCTGTGTGTGATTTGAACCAGCATAGGAGAAGTGAGGTTTCAAGAGATCAGGGGAGTGAGGTTTACACTCTACCCCCTAAACCTCACTCCCATCCGGGTCACAGCACCAAATATAACCTCTTCGTTCCTAATCGCCTCTCTCTGTGTGTGATTTGAACCAGCATAGGAGAAGTGAGGTTTCAAGAGATCAGGAGAGTGAGGTTTACACTCTACCCCCTAAACCTCACTCCCATCCGGGTCACGGCACCAAATATAACCTCTCCGTTCCTAATCGCCTCTCTCTGTGTGTGATTTGAACCAGTGTCTCTGGTATAGAAGGAGTGAGGAGATCAGGGGAGTGAGGTTTACCCACACAGCTCTTACTAGCTTGCCTTCGTTACACTCTCCCCCTTAAACCTCACTCCCATCCGGGTCACGGCACCAAATATAACCTCTCCGATCCTACTCATCTCTCTCCATGTGGGATTTGAACCAGCGTCTCCAGATTAGGAGGGGGGTGCACTAACAAGGACACTAAAGACCGCAGTCCGTTTAGTGTCAATAGGTTGGTTTCACGTGACGTCACGCTGCTGCATCGCGAGAGCGCGAAAATTCAGATGGAGGGCAGGAAGTGAAATAGCTGAGGATCTGCCATCAATGTTTTGTTTAGTTTATGGCGGCTCCAATCGTTCTAATCGAGAAAAGGGCAAGGGTTTTTATGGAGTACCAAAGATTGTCATTCATAAAGGTGAGTGTGGCGAAGGAAGGCCGAGGGGCGTGCCGTGAGAGAACGGCGCGAGGCCGGTGGTGCGATTGCTAATGAGCAACACCTGGGTAGCACACCGGTCTCGCATATCTCACGGAGGAGCGGAAGCATAAAGGAGGAGCGACGACGTTGATGATCGAGAGAGGAACAGGCCTGTATTTTAGTTGTGTTTTGTTTTTGTATCTGTATTTTACTTTAGCCAGCAGTCGTCCGCGAGGGGCTGCTGGCGGTATTTTGGTATGCTTGTTTTATTTTAAATAAAGTATATTTTGATTGTTCGCCGGTTTCCGCCTCCTTCTACCCTGAACATTGCTACAGTGAGAAATGTAAAAAGCTCACAGAACAACGCCGTAAAAAGTGGATTTTTAACATAACGTTACGTCTGCGGTTTGGGAGTAGCAGAGTCTGTTAATGCCGTGTCTCTGCAGCGATGGTATGTTAGCTAGCCAACGTGTTTTTTTGTGTCTGTGTTTATATAGCATTAGGTTGTCGTTCAGGGGGAATGGGACATTAAATGATCAAATTAGACTCAATACGGACTCTCCGCAACGGTTTCCTCCATAGACGTATTCTCCATGTTTACTTCCTGCCCTCCATCTGAAATCGCCCTGCCTTCCCGCGTCATCATAATCACGTGACTGAAACCCAGCTATTGCCAGCGTACCTCTTAAGGACAAGGGAGTGAGGTTTACACTCACCCCCCTAAACCAAAACTCATCCCATCCGGGTCACGGCATCAATTGTAACCCCTCCGGTCCAACTCACCCCCCTCAGTGCGGGATTCAAACCGGCATCTCCGGCATTGGGAGGTGGGTGTCCTAACAAGTGTGCTAAAGACCGCAGTCTCTAGAGTCTAGTCTCTACTATGTGACTAATATGTATAAGACTACTAAAAAGGGTACTGTCTACATAGAGTAAACTTCAGGAACTATCATCCTAAACATAAAAAAGACTAGACACTTTACAGATCAAATAACATAATGTTTGCACAAAGTAATTTACATACAAGACAAGTGCCTCACAGACCTTCCAAGCGCATTCCTGGTAGTTTTAACAAACTGAGGGGCGAATGAAAACGACAGCACGTCACAGACTCACAGATGCCGCTCATGTAGGTTAAGTTGTACTGAACCCAGAACATTACTTAAAGCACACAGAGATCAGACTCTAATCAGTATCTCCACTGATGTCATGATTCGCTGGTGATGACGAGTTTTGAACATCTGTGAACGCGCAACATCTGCCACGTTACATCAGAGAGTGTGTATCCGCGCTGTGCATCCCCTGTCACCATGGAAACAGGACTCCGGTTGGTTGAGCTGGAGGCAGAGCAGCATTGATGAGATGTGTGTGATCATGATGTGACAGTGACATTTACTCAAATGCGCTGAGGACACGGTGGCATTAGAGGAGAAGGTGATGATAGGCTATTTGAACAGATCAAGCTGTTTTTTCCAGCATTCCTCTCACATGTGCCGAATATAACCCTGCAGCTAAATATAACCACTGTCAGGTGATCTAATGCCGATCTCGGCACGGACACGCAACAAACACCTGAATTCTGCAATCATTTACCAAACCCTTCGGCAGTTTTTGCATGCACCCTGATGGTTGCGGTTGGACTGTTAAGGCACGTTCTACGTCACTAAGAATGATAACTACCACACCAATGCATGATAACTCTCTGTTTATTTTAAGTGCACTGCAGTTTTGTCATCTGCTGTTTTAAATGCTCAAGCTCTTTAAAGCAGGATGGATTCTGATTGGCTGTCAATGTCAAAGTATCGTTCCTCAGCTGGACATTTTTCAAATGTGCAAACTGAGATTTCTGGTCAGATAAACACATCTTTGTCTAATAATAGAGACAACAGGAGAAAAGTAGGACTCATTTACATTCATGCATTTGGCAGACGCTTTTATCCAAAGTGAATTGCATTGCATTCAAGGTACACGTGATCAGTTCATGCATTCCCGGGGAATCGAACCCGTGCTCTAGTATTTGAGCTGCAGGAATAACCCTCTTCCTGGAGTAATGGAGGTGTTTTACTCAATGCACTGGAGAGGTTTGAACCGAAAGCCTTTCACTTTCCATCACTAGTCTACACCACCCTGATAACATGATAATCTGCACCATGTGGTTTTGTGATATGATATCTTGCACATGACAGCAGGCCGTACACCGGGGTATAGCTTTCTTACATTATACCAGAAAAATACATCGCTCAAGCAATACAGCATGATGACAGTAAGGGAATGCATGAACTGAACAAAATGTATAGATTGAATGCAGTGTAAATTGCATCTGTCAAATGCATAAATGTAAATGTATCAAGGAACTATTACTAATTCCTCATTGCTTCAGTATAAAAAATGTAAGAATTCAGTGGCATTTTTACCCTTATGAGAGTATATTTCTTATGTAATCGCACTGTTT